TCAATCACCGCTCCATTGGGGCTCAACCAATCCATGCCCACAATGACTTTATTCCCGCGCAGGGGAATCGGAACCAAATCCACTGGAAACTGCTCCTCAAATATCTGAAGGGAACATCCTCTGCATACTCTGTCGACCCTCACGGTCCTATCATCTGCTATCTCAACCTCTAATGGACAATCCAGCTCCCCTGGAGCTATGCTAAATCTCTTGCTTAGCGCAAGCGATACAAATGATCGGGTGGCCCCCGAGTCAAACAATACCAAAGCAGGGATGCCGTTCACCGAGAACGACCCTAAATAAAACGTACCATCAAATAATATTCAATCGATATATTAATATTTAAAAGATGAAAGAAATACACATACCCGTCACCACATCAGGAGTCGCTCGCGCCTCCTCTGCTGTCATCTGAAATGCCCTGCTCTTCGCCACTGGCGCATCAGCTCGGCCCTGACGGCCATCCGTGATCCTCAAAGTGGCAGGGGCGGGTGCATGCACCTTCCCTGCTGCAGCTAAACTGGGACACTGGGACCTTTTGTGTCCCCTCTGATTGCACTGAAAGCAAATCAGATCCGATGCTGTAACCGTAGTGGCAGGGGCCGTACAATCCCTACTCATATGCCCGGTCCGACCGCACTTGTAGCAGCCGGAACTCCCTGCCTTGCACGCCCCCTCGTGCAACCTCCCACACTTGCCACACCGACCGTGGCTCTGCTGACCTCTGGACCTGTGATCTGAAACCTTGGGCTTTTTGCCCACAATGCCTGTACCCGAAACCGCCTCCGGTTTCCTCTTCCTCTCCATCTCGAGATCAATCTCCCTCTCTCTGGCTCTAGCAATCATGTCGTCCAGTGTTTTGCAACTGGACCGGCTCACAAACATCCGAATATCGCTCCGCAACATCTCGTGATAACGGGCCTTCTTCATCTCCTCATCTGCTGCATACTGTGGAACAAGAAGGGCCCGCTCCCTGAACTTGGCGGTGATCTCCGCCACTGTCTCGGTAGTCTGGGTAAGATCCTGGAACTCCCTGGCTAACTGTTGCACCTCAATGACCGGTGCGAACTCCGCTCTGAACCTGGTAGAGAAATCAGCCCAGGTCATGGCATCCAATGCCGCATCATCCCCGATGGCATGTCCTACCTCCTCCCACCAGTCACGTGCCCTGTCCTTCAGGAGACAGGACGCCAATCTGACCTTGTCCCCCTCGGGACATCTGCTAGTGCGGAATGCGTTGGCCACGTCCGCCAACCACCTGGTACTCGCTATGGGGTCCCGTGCCCCGTGATAGTCAGGAGCCCCGCATGCCCTGAACTCCCTGAAAGTGAGTGTGCGCGACCCCATCACGGCCGCTATCTCAGTACGGAAAGTACTCAGTCTCTCATCCATCATCTCCAAAATGCCCTCCTTGATCGAACCGAAGATCACAGGAGTCTGCTCAAGTATGATGCGAGTAACCTCAGAAGAAAGGAACTCTCTGGTCTGCTCATCCATCTGTCCGACCTCCGGGTCGGATCCCGATCCTGATCCCCCTCCGGCATCTGAACTGCCGGCTGCTGGCCTCGGACGCAAAACTACCATTCTGAAACATAACATAACAACATCAGAACACCGAAATATTTCAAGGGATCATGATACGACTACTAGCTTCCTGGTCTAATCTCGGCCTTCCTTGATTCGAGTACGGATCCTCTGCTTCCAGTAGTATGGGCCCCTACTACCTTCCACATCTATCCGTACTTTCCTCAAGAACCGCCTTGACTTCCCCAAGTCACTTCTACCGCTGCTACTCTGCTACTCTCGTCCTAGGCTTGCCCTAGAGAAACTCGAGCTCAATACGACTGGTCCTCAGCTGCTGTAGGTCTCCTCGCACTGCCAGTTAGCCATCACCTAAACACCATCACATGTGATGAGGATCGGATAATTCTTCAAGTAAAAGATCCGTCCCTACAACGGTTGGACTCAAACAAGAGCTGCGCAGTAGGGCCAGTTCCAGCACTCTGGGATTATTCAAACCTGATTACATGTGGTGCGACGTGTCCACCTAATGGCTAACTCTCATTACTCGGAATCCCACTAAGCACAAAGCAAGCAGCATTCGGACAAGGGAACCAGACTCACGCGAACTATTCTTATAACAAGAAACTGCACTAGCATAGGATGCTAAGCTCATACTATCAGGCATAACCTAAACAGGCTATCCTACTGCTGTCTACTCAATTCTAGCACGCAACATTCATAAAGCTGTAACACATAAGCAGGCACATAAGGCATTCTCCCCACACCCTTAGTCCTATTCTAGCATGCTGTTCTACTAAAACTGAAATTGAACAAATAACTTGTATGGGTAATTTGGGTGTACTTACTTGAGCTCGGTTGACCGCATGCACACACCTCTATCTTAAAACAATTCTTTTCTTTCTAAATGTTTTCTCAAAATTCTTTTGTAAAAACATTTTATAAAAAAAATCTTTTATTTCCCCTTAGTTTGAGTTCAGATACACCTGAGAGTGTATCCGAATCCCTCAAACCAGGGCTCTGATACCAACTTGAAACGACCCAAAATACGACCCGAAAATTTTTGTTTTTAATACCATCAAAAATATAATCAGAGTATTATATAAATAAACCATGCGTGTTATGTCCCAAAAATATAATAAAGTACTGTGCGGAAACTGCATCATACTACATTGAAAACCATAACTAAATCAAATCCAGACTAAGCTGAAGCGGTGGTGTGTGCGATGCCGTCACCCAGAGCTCTTCCCTTTGCTTGCGGAAGTACCTGAAACCAAAACTGAAACTGTAAGCACGAAGCTTAGTGAGCTCCCCCAACTTACCACATACCATGCAAAACATATAAACACATACTGGGCCTTGCCCACTGCATCGGGCCGAGGCCCGGAAACTGCATCGGACCGAAGTCCGGAACTGACTGGGACCTTGTCCCCTGCATCGGACCAAAGTCCGGAACTAACTGCATCGAACCGGAGTCCGGAACTAACTGCATCGGACCGGAGTCCGGAACTAACTGCAGCGGACCGAAGTCCGGAACTGACTGGGACCGTGTCCCCTGCATCGGACCGAGGTCCGGAACTGGCTGAGCATAGCATAGCATATCATAACAAACATACTGCATACTGCATCGGGCCGTAGCCCGGAACATAAAACACATAACACATAGCACATGAATTATGTCTGAACCACGAAGGCATCAGTCATACTAACTACTACATCGGACCAAAGTCCGGATACTACTACTAACTGGACGGGCCGGCATTGTGGCCTTAGACCCGTCCCTACTGGAAGGAAACTCACCTCGTAAGCTAGCGGATGAGTGTGTGGCTCGGAAGGCTAACGGCTGCCGCTCCTGAATCTCCTCGGCTACAAATCCATAAACACACTCGATCAATTACTAACACTATACTCAGGGTAAAATGACTCTTTTACCCTTGGTCAAAGTCAACTTACTCAGGGCTGACTCGCCGAGTCGGGATACCCAACTCGCCGAGTCCTAGACTCCCCACTCAACTCTTACACGCTGATACTCGTCGAGTGTGGCATCGACTCGACGAGTACCCTCTGGATCCAAGTACTCAGATGATCTTCATCCGACTCGCCGAGTCGGATGAACAGACTCGACGAGTTGTTCTTGATCCCCAAGAAGATTGCCTTGGACTCGCCGAGTCGTATGAACAGACTCGCCGAGTCCCTCCATCACTGAGTCTACTCTCAACTCGCTGAGTCCACTCCCTAACTCACCTCGTCCACTCGACACTGAAGAAACTGAAGAACTCGGGACTCGCGACCGGACTCGTCGAGTCGTTCTTCCGACTCGCCGAGTCGCCGCCATGCAACATAATTTTACTCGATTTCTTTTGAATCCAACACATGCAAATGATAGATCTGGGTCCATTAAGCTGTTTTACCACGTAAAGTTTCCAACTTTACGTGCACAACCACATGAATGAGGGAAATAAGACTAAAATATGCACAATAAGAGTAGATCCATGGCTAATATGTAATGTAACTCCAAAAAGGTAGTGGATCTGGACTCTACAACACCCCAACACTCAGATCTAAAGATATTTCGGCTTAATAACACATTCAAGCAAGCATGAAGCTTGGAACAAGCATCAAATAGCCCTAAAAGAGCTCTAATGGAAGTTTAAGCATGAAACCAAAAGGGAACTCCGAAAATACCTCAATAAGTTCACACTTGACCTTGGATCTTGGCACTAGAACACGTTTCCTTGCTTCCTTCTTCTTCTCCTTCTTCACCTCTTCACAAAATGGAACAAGATCACATATAAGCTCACAAATGGAAGGTTTAGGGTTTCTCACAGTGCTCTCAGGGGGAAAGTGGCGAGATGGAGGCTATAATGGGGTTTAAATAGTGAGCAAACCCGGGGATTTAGGGTTTCCCCCAAACGGACGGACTCGCCGAGTCCATGATATGGACTCGCCGAGTCGCCGGCTCCCGCGTGCCCACAATGCGCGACTCGACTCGGCGAGTCAGGCTAGAACTCGCCGAGTCCCTCTTAAAAACCTAGCCTAAAATCGAGTTAATTAACATACCGGAAACGGGTCGTTACAGTATCAAGGAAGGCCCTATAATAAAGAAAGACGACACGCATTCGCCTGTCGTAACCCTATGACGCGCGTGTTAATGACACGCAATGCGTATCAAGAAAGCCCCTGTCAAGAAAGGCCATGTCATAAATGAAGATGACACACATTTTTGCGTATCATAATTTTAAATGTTTAAAAAAATTTATTTATAAACTTACTTATTTTCTAATTAAATTTGTATTTAATGTTTCATAACATAAATAAAATACTATATACAAAAAATACAATCCATTGCATAAAATTTGATGTCATACAATTCCATTTCTTACAATATATAAATTTGCATTCATCTAATCTACTCTGTGTTTCGTACTAACAATTGAAATGAAGAATGCAACACTTGCATTTGCAGAATCTTATCTCTTTCAACTTGAGCTTTCTTTTCCTCTTTTAACTCCAGAGCTATTCGCTTTCATCAACTCTGTAAACACAACACAAAATCACTTGTCATTTTCATTCTACTTTTAAAATTAATTCTTGTTAGGACATTCTACTTTTAAACCTACCAATCTAGCAAATTTATCAAAGAATATAATTTATAATTTTTTATGGAAATTACATTGCTATTTCTTGAATATAAGATGAAAACAGAGAGCATTGGATTATCAATACAAACCTTACAGTTCTTATCATCTTACTTACTAATGTAAAGAAGTAATCTTGCAGTTGTTCTATGAATTTGCTCTATAAGATCTGGCACTGAACCAACCTGATCATATTTTGAGAAATATGCTTCAGTTTGTGTTTTCACCAACAACATCAACAATCTCATCTCCCCCAGACACCACATCAAAAAAAAAAAAAAACATTCAGTTCCCAAATTTCCACACACCAATATGTATCCAACTTATAAATAATAAAACAACACCCATAAACATCCAAATCCAAAAGGAAAAACAAAGAAAACCGAAATCAGTACTCAACATACTGAGCAAATGCATGGGATGAAAAAAATATTAACCTTAACAATACGATGCACCAACCAGCAAAGTCAAACTCAATTATACCAATGTCATCAAAATACAAACCAATTTTCGCAGATAAAATTAGGTATACTTATCAGAAGTACTTTTACCTTTGATTTTAAAAATAAAATATAATATTATTTTTGGATTAATTTACACAAACCTCATGAGTCTCGGTGGTAAACTCAAAGTTGGGCCCTTCAACAATGGCATCAACAGGGAATGCTTCTTGGTAAAATCCACAGTATATACACTTTTCCATGTCAATATCATACCTACAATATGATTCACTCAATAAGAGAGAGAGAGAGAGAGAGAGATAGATAGAGAGAGAGAGAGGGTGTGGTTTAACCTCGTTGTTCTACGGCTCCCATCTTCTCTCTCCTCAGCTTCAATTGTAATAGCTTAAGCTGGACACATCTAAAACACCAATAATAAAACAATTAAGACAAAGTTGAATCAATCATTCCACAAGTAAAAAAATTACATTGGAATCAAAACGTTGCAAAGGGCTTCTGGAATCAGCTCATTTCATTTGTGGTGTGAACAACAACTTGGAATGCAGCTTTGTTGTTTTTTCCTGCAATACCCCTGAGAATCAGTAAAGGTGATGTCACCAAACTCTATATCAAAAAAATCACAAAAATTGTACTAAAGGGTAGTGCAATTGTGGTTGTGTATGCGATTGCAACCGTGTTTAGGAAGCAGAGGGTGGTTGTAGAGTACAGCATCATACCGCTATATACAGAATAAAGGTTCCAAATACTTGAATCCTAGCAAAGGTCCTGTTGAACATCCTGTCACAAACCTGGAAGAAATATTATAAAATTAAAAGCAAGCTAAATTTTTTAACTTGTAAGCAATATAGTATAAAAAAGATTAATATGTCAAAGAATCCAAACTTACTTCAAAAACTTGTGTTGATTTTCCAATGAGAAGTTCTTGAGAATCTCCCAAAACATGTCAATGACATAATGCTCCTGTCAAGAAGAACACCATTACCATGTATATGTAGCTCAGTAGCAAGATAACAAGACTAGTCAGTGTGACATATCAGATGAAAACAAATACAATTTCATCCTTGTTTAAAAAATAAAAAAATAAAACAAAATTTTGAACTTACACAATGATAGCCACCAGCATAATTTGTGTTAGACCTAAAGTCATCTACATCGAATCCATCAACAGATCCTGATATGAGAAGCTGCAAAAACATATATATACTTAAAAGCAAGATTATGATATTACACTAAAAGAGGGAATAACATATTTAATTGATGCTACACTAAAGGAAGGATCTGAAAACCTGGAGTTCATTTTCATTAAACATGTCAATCCAATCTTTCTGTATAAGCTGTTGAAATCCCCTTAATAAATGAGAGCTTTGTAGACGAATCTGAAAATAGATGATGCATAATATTACAACAAAATCCTTTATGCACAATAAGGAATGACGAAAATACACTCATTGTCATCATTAAAAGTTGAGGGAAGACATAAAACCTGAGTATTAAGGTGATGATTGGCAACAAGATGAATAAATGTGATGACATTATCATTCACAACTCGTATATTCTTGTCACCTGGAACCAGCTCTTCTGACGTTTGCTCACCAAATTCATTATTAACAATAACAAAGTACAACTCCAACTCTGACAAATCACCCTCGTATCGCTGCACATGACATTTAAAAAAAAAATTATATAAAAAGTTCAAGATAATCTTCACACAAGGAATTAAAAAGTTCAGATGATCTATAATTTGACAAAAAGATCATATTTTTTTATGTAAAGCTAAATAAAAGAGTCAGATGCAAGAAATAGCAATGAAATCTAATTTTTGTTTTTTTTATTACAGCATCCTAATTTCTTTTCTTTGTACTTTAAAAAATATAAAGCAGTTTTCACTTTTATAACTGAGTATGTTTTTTAAAGTACAATGTATTTATAAGAAAAAAATTAAAGTGTAGCACCTGTAATATAAAGAAATGAGAATAATATGCTATATTTCTTGCATTTAGCCCAATAAAGAAAGCCACAAACCTTTAAAAATATATTGTCAATCTTCAACAATGGAGTTGTGCCCACTGCCAGAAGTGGTAATAGCTCAGAAAATGCAGTGTACCTCTTAATTGTTATGTTACCACACAAACAGAATATGTTTCAGAACACAACAAGGGCAGAATGGGAAAATTAAGAAATTATGAGGAAAATGGTTGGAGAAAGAAGTAAACATGCTTACTAAAATAAATGATTAATAATTAAGTGAAGCAAGCGAAGTAAGAAGAAATAGGTAAATGAGGAAGGAACTTGAAATTACTCTTAGAATGCTTACAAGGAGATAGTTCTTAAGGCTTTAGGTAGTATAAAGAAGGTGCAGGGCATCCATAGGAGAATTTTCTGTGACAAATATGTGGAAAAAGACTCATCAGCATCACTGGTAGCTAAAATCAAGATCCATAAACATTTTAATAAATATATTTTTTTTATTTACTTTTTGTGATTTAATTTAATTCCTTGTAATCTTCTTCCTATACTATTCTAAACTTTTGGGTTGTTCCTATTTTTCCCCTCTTAGCCTCTTGCTATCATTGTAGTTCGTGACTTCAAGATTGTCTATCAAAGTAGCACCACTTTGTCTTATTTTACACAAATTGCAAAAGTAAGAATGTTTGATTTAAGACTTAAAGAACACTTCGGATGTTAAAAACTTAAAATGCATACCTTAATATCATGAAATGTTTCTTGTACTTATTCAAAATTTAAGTGTCATTACCAAATCCGAAATTAGAATAAGCCCTCACTATCTCTAACCGCTTTCCTTTAAGTCCACCAGATTTTACGTGCTTCAGATAATCACCATGGGGGATATACTTTGAAGCTTTTCTTGTTGCAACTTCATCATTTTTATCAAAACCAACAATGGCATTCAACAACTTTTTCAAAGACGCATATACTCAAACACCTGGTGTGCTATAATGTTTTGATGGCAAAAAGTTATCATATGTGCAGTAAAACAATCAAATGGCCATAAGTACTAAAGAAAGCTAAGGGTGGGAACCTACAATTGCTTGTTTAGTTCTGGCATTCCAACCACTGGGTGCAGTGGAGCTTCGGAAAAAAGCCCATTCACTCAAGCTTGCTTTCCCGAGTATAATTGCCCCTGATTCTCTCAACTTCTACTAGGAAAGATGACATTAGAGCCCTAGAATTGAGAAAATGGTGAGACCTTTGAGGTTTTTTTCGGAGGAGACTTGCTTGAGATGGAGATGCCATGGATGGGAGAAAGGGGAGTTCTAGAGAGCGATTGTAGAGGGAGATTACGACATCACAGGCCAACAACCACCAGATCTCTTTCTCTCTCTTCTCATTTTAGTGTTGGCGAGCTATTGTTGGCGATACCTTTAGTGCAAGCAAAGGGGCGGTGTTTAGCGCCCTTGACGACCGGTGGCGACCTCCACGGTGGTGACAGATACCGAATTAACAAAGGTGAGGTTTTGGAGAGGCATGCAGTTGGTAGCCTGCGTATAGTTTGAAGCTCAAAACTCAGAAAGACAAAAGGAGAAGGGGAGAAAATAATGAATCGATGGTGGTGAATGGTGATTAACAGAGATGATGTATAGTGGGCTGATTACTGGTGATGATTAACGAATCATTACGAGAAACTCCACCGGCCATAAGGAAAACCCACCACCAAGTCTTCCATCTCAATGTGATGTCAGGCTGACCAGAAGCAAGCAAGAAGGCAACTTTCATCAGCAAACAAAGTTGTTTCGTGAATCACATCATATATATAGAGAGAGATTAGGGTTTTTTTTGGGTATTAGAGATTTTGTGATATTGCGATTTTGTTGTGGGAGAAAAGAGGATTGGTGATGATATTAGGGTTTTTTGGGTATTAGAGTGAGAGAGATAGAAAAGAACGATGGAAATAAGGTGGATAACAATGGCGGGCTTTCAAAATTTTGGGATTTTCATTTCCCCCCGGCTGCAAGAGAAGAGAACGCGCCTTTCATTAAAAAAATATAAAGCTTCATTTCTAGACGACGCCCATTTTTAAATAAGTGCCCTCCGTGTTTTTAATTGTTTTTTGTTGGACATTAATTTTAAGGGACGCACAAAAGCGTGTCTATTATCCTTCAAATTATAGAAGAGGTGATATTATTTTTAGGGTGCACGCTTTTGCGTATCGTAGATCACCGCGTGTCGTTGTTTGCGCGTCATTAAAGGTCTGTTTTCTAGTAGCGAGAGCTTGTACGCCAGTTCTCCATGTGTGAGTTCTAGTTACGCGAGGTGTAGTTTTTTGGGCACCTTGTCAACCAGAATGGTATTTTGGTCGACTCGGCCAAGGTAGAGGCCGTGACAAGATGGGAGGTTCTGAAGTCTCCATCTGAGATTCAGAATTTCCTAGGATTAGTCAGATACTATCGGAGATTCATCCAGGATTTCTCCAAGATTGTCATACCCTTGACTCAGATAACGAAGAAAGTCGTACTCTTTCATTAGGGGCCAGAGCAGTAGGCAGCGTTCGAGACACTAAGACAGAGATTGTGTGAGGCACCAATCTTAGCCCTGCCAGAGGGCGTAGAGGATTTTGTTGTATACTGCGACGCGTCTATTTCAGGTTTGGGCATGGTGTTGATACAGAGAGGGCATGTCATCGCCTACGCCTCGAGGCAGTTGAAGCCCCATGAGTCGAACTACAAGACGCACGATTCAGAGTTGGGGGCGGTGGTCTTTGCACTCAAGCTTTGGCGACACTATCTCTATGGGGTTCAATGTACCATCTACACGAACCATAAGAGTCTGAGATACCTCATGGATCAGCCGAATCTGAACATGAGGCAGCTTCGATGGTTAGATATGGTAAAGGATTAAGATTGTGAGATCCTTTACCACCCTGAGAAGGCCAATGTAGTGGCCGATGCGCTTAGCCGTAAGGCAGCGCCGAACAGAGACTTTTGCATGCGGATGATAGTAGTGACTCCACTGTTGGAGCATATCCGAGAGGCCCAGTAGGAGGCTATGAAGGAGGAACATCGAAAGAGCGAGCGTATAGTGGGTCAGGTTTCCTCATTCGACTATAATAGCCAAAGGTTATTGACACTACACCATAGGGTGTGGGCTCCATACCACAGGGGTGTGCGCTGGGTCCTGATGGAGGACGCGCACAAGTCCCGATTCTCCATTCATCCCGGGGTGACGAAGATGTATAGAGATCTTCATCTTGACTATTGGTGGCCCTGCATAAAGCAGGATATAGCATGCTACGTGGAGCGGTGCTTGACCTGCAGGAAGGTCAAGGCCAAGCATCAAAGACCACATGGCAAGATGCAGCCGTTAGATATTCCCATGTGGAAATGGGAAGATATTATCATGGATTTCATCAACAAACTTCCCAGGACCACACGGGGAGTAGATTCCATATGGGTCATCATGGATCGATTGACTAAGAGTTCCCATTTCATATACCGATCTATGAAAGTATATCGGCCGAGAAGCTGGCCGACATCTACATTAGGGAGGTGGTGGCTCAGCATGGAGTGCCAGTCTCCATGATTTCTGACAGAGATGTGAGGTTTACTTCCAAATTTTGGAAGAAATTCCACGACGAGTTGGGTTCTCGTCTACACTTTAGCACCGCTTTTCACCCGGAGATGGATGGGCAGAGCAAGCGGACCATCCAGACACTTGAGGATATGTTGCAGGTGTGCATGCTAGACTTCATGTTGGATAAGGTGTCTGAGTCCATAACTATTTCTGGTATGTACTTGACCCGACCCGGCATGGTACATTTGGGTTGCATGGCATCACGCATTTGGTTAGACTAAATGAGAGAAATAACACTTGTGGTTTATTAATATATTATAATTTCTAATATATTAATAGTATTATTTAATTAGTATTGATCAAGAATTAATTTGGAATTAATTAAGTGATCAAAAGATAACTAATTAAATTTATATGGGTTAATTATGTAAATCATCCATAACTTGTATAGTAGGCTAAAAGGCTCCATGGATTATCAAGTTAGGCTAAACCCATAGGATGCTCCATGGAAGTTACAAATCCATGGGTCATGTAAATGAAGAGTCCTGACACATTAGGGTTTACATGGTGTAACCCTAGATGTGACACACTATATAAGCTACATGTTCTCTACCAAAATAGGCTACACTAAGTTGCAAGAGGGCTAGGCCGATTTTTAGAGTCTTACATATTCTCTCAAACTCATTCCAAATTATTTGGTATTGTGTGAAGCATTTGAGACATCACACTTGGGGTGCTAGGCTCTTAAGGTTTTCAAGGAATCAAATCAACTACAAGGTATGTAATTCTAGCCATCTTTTAGATTAAAAGTTCCCCATGTATGCTAGATAGGATCATGAACCTTGGAAATCATATTTTGCATGTATTTTAAACAAACATAGATCCAAGGTTTTCTAGGGTTGCATGTACACTTAGGAGTGTTAGAATGCTCAAAACCCATCACTTCGGTGCCGGTGGTAGTTAAGATACCTACCTACCATTAGCTGAGTTCTCCTACAACAACAGCTACCACGTTAGCATCGATCGTCCTCCCTTTGAGATGTTATATGGGAGGAAATGCAGTACCCCAATATGTTGGGGTGAGGTGGACCAGAGGGTCATAGGGAGCATCGAAGTGGTGCTCAAGAATACGGAGATGATTCAGCAGGTCAGAAGCAGGCTTTAGACTACTCAGATTGGGCAGAAAAGTTATGCCGACAAGCACTACTCGAACATGGAGTTCTGGATCGGGGATAGGGTCCTCTTGATGGTGTCACCATGGAAGGGCATCATCCGATTCAAGAAGTGGTGCAAGCTGGGTCCCAGGTATATTGGACCTTTCAGGGTTATAGCCCAGATGGGCAAGGTGACATATCGGTTGGATCTATTGGCCAAACTTAGTCAGATTCACAGTACATTCCATGTCTCCCAGTTGCGAAAGTGCTTGGTGGATGACACGAAAGTGGTGTCTCTAGAGGATATTCAGGTGGATGATAGCCTGCATTACATTGAATGGCCTGTGGCAATCCTCAACTGAAAATCGAGGGATTTGAGGAATAAGAAGGTCGAGCTGGTGAAGGTGCAATAGTGGCACTGAAAGGGCTCGGAATGGACGTGGGAGTCGAAGGACGAGATGATGGAGCATTACCTAGAGCTTTTTCAGGGTCGAACAAAAGACTTCGAGGACGAAGTCTAAAATAAGTAGGGGAGATTTGTAGCACCCGATTTCTGGTACGCCCTTAATTTAAAGTATTTTTATGTTTTTCTTTGGGACTCTACGAGTTGGAGGCCCAACTCGTCGAGTCAAGTCGGCACTCGCAGACATTTTAAGTGACCTACTCAACAAGTCGGTAGACTGACTCGGCGAGTAGGTCTTGTTTGATTGAACCCCAAATCTAAGGGGGTGCACCCTATTTAAGCATCTCATTCAGCCTCCCTTCATCCATATTGTTCTCAGAACTCTCCATATCAAACCCTAATCGTTTGTGTAAAGATCTAAGGCCTTTGTGGTGGTTTTTGGTGATTTTGGAACATAAGAAGGAAGGGAAACCCTTGATAAATCCATAGGAGGCCAGAAGAGTTCGAATTTGTACACCCTTTACAGTTCTTTAAAGGTATAAAGTTGATACCTTGCTCTTTCCAGTGTTAGATCCCTTTTTGGGGTGATTTATGGCTTTTAGGAGCCATTCTTGATGACCAATCATGAGTGCAAGCATGGTTGGGAGCTAAGACTTCAGATCCAAGGTCTTTAAGGGGTTATAAGGTAGAAAGTAGTTGATTTTGGAGTCTTAGAGAGCCCCATGCATCTTAAGAGTCTCATTTAGGGCCATTTGAGCTAATAGTCCCATGCATGCACGTAAAGTGTGTAAATTTACGTGCTAGATCGATCTTAGAAGCCTAGATCTATCTTTTGGTCAAGTGTTGTACACTAGAAATCAAGAAATGAGACTTGGTCATTCTCGACTCGGCGTTTCATTCTTGGGACTCGGAGAGTCCATGGCTTGACTTCCCATTTCTGTTATGGTTCGGAGGAACCCAGTGAGTGTTAGAGTGGTCTTAGAGGGGTCCGGGGGAGTGACCCAACGCATTGGACTTAGCCATAGACCTAGAAATCATAGGACTCGGTGAATGTATGAACAGACTCGGCGAGTCAAAGGAAATCTCCCAACTTTCAAAGATGAACTCGACGAGTTGTTCATACAACTCGGTGAGTCAAGGCAGGACTTGTTCATAGAATGGAGATGAACTCGACGAGTTGTTCATACAACTCGGCAAGTCGAATGAAGGTTCATTCGTGGTTATTTTAGATGGAGAACCCGTCGATTCGTTGCCAAACTCGACGAGTAGAGGCGTGAACAAGGACAGATGAAAGGGTAGGGACTCGATTAGTTAGCGGCCCAACTCGGCGAATCGGGTCAACTGGAAATTGACTTTGACTTCGACTTGGTCAGGGGTAAAATAGTTATTTTACCCTAAGAGGAGTTATCGGTGTCTGATTAAGTGTTTTATGAATTTATAGTCGGAGGATCATCGGAGTAGCTGTCAGATATTTGCCAATCAGCTTTTCAGCAGTCAGCCTTACGAGGTGAGTTACCTTCCAGTAGCGGTGGGTCTACGGCCACAATGTCTTCCCTCCAGTAGGAGTTGTATGTTAGATGATTTTCTTTGTGATATCATCTAGGTTTGCTACTACCTGATATGTTATATGTTGGCATGATATGTTATAT